CCCATCAGCCCCGGCCAATGTGGCCAATGGCAAGAGATGATGGGAGCCGTAGTCCGCCGATATCTTGAAGGCCACAAATTAGAATTCCTGCCTTGCACTAATGACAGAGAAAAGGGAGATTATACAAATTTGCAAAGTGTGTGTGTATGCGTGTTTGTTTTGGCAACAAAGGCATTCTTTACCACTTCTTCTTAAGGATGGTGAGAGCGGGGAAGGAAGACAGACCCAGACTTAGGTTACTCATTCCCACTTCCGGAAAGAAACGCAAGAGAAAGAAATCTCATCGCCTTAAAAGCTGCTATTTCTGCAACACAAGCAGATTTACATGGGCATCTAAAGTATATATACTACTGGACTTACACAAGTAAGCCTAACATTCTGAATTTCAGTCCAAAACTACAATTACATGCACCTCTAACCTACACGCAATACCTAGTGCCACTACAGTGTACCGGCTGTTGAGCTGAAAGCAAAATGGAGAGCTTAGAAAAAATGTCTTCTTTGGACACTCAAATCCCTCCGCCAGGTTGGGAGAATTTGGGGAGGGGGGCTGTCCTTCCCCCTGCAAAAAAAAAAAAAGCCCAACCTGCTCAGCTTCCAAAATCAGATGATACTGATTCAGCTCACTCTCTTTACGCACATCACACTCGTCGAAAGCTTGGGCACCTTTGGCAGGTGTTCACGCGTGTTTCTTTGGAACGACAGGCCCACTATTCTCCGTCAACGCCGTCACGGGCCACGTTGGCAGAGGGGTGATTTCGAAATAATAACTTCTCTAGGGTCTGACATTCACGTGCATCATCTACAGAAGTACCTTGAGATATTCCCCAGATGTTCTGGGACTCAAACTCCCAGAAGCCTTCACCATGAGCTGCGCTGGCCAGGATTTCTGGGGAGTTGCAGTCCAAGAACATCTGGGGACCCAAGATCGGAAACCACTGGAAGCAAGGGAGAACCATGCTTCTGAGCATCTACCACCCCCTTTTTTCTACAGTCGTGCCCCGCTTAACGATTGCCTCGCTTAATGAGGAAATAGCTTTACGATGAGGTTTTTGCGATCGCAAAATAATCGTCTAAATGGGGGAATTTCACTTAGCGATGATCGGTTCCCTGCTTTTTCTACTTCCCTTGGGAATAATCTTCCAGGGGCCACATACTAGCAGTGAACAGGATCAAACCTGGAAAGGAGTTAGCCCACCCCTTTCTCTTACCTGTTCCTTCCCTCCCTCCTTCCCTTCTCCACTGGCAAGCTGTCTCAAGAGAGAGATTCTTTTTGCCAGAAGCCTGAATCGCTTGCTGGCAGAGGTCCTTCGAAATTAAACCCAAGATCTCCAGGTTTATCACTCCTGAGCTAAAGGGAAGGAGGAGAGGGAGCGGAAGAAGATGACTCCCTTTCATCAGCGGTGTTCCTGATGCTCAGCTAACCTGGATCCTTTTCTGGATTATTTCCCCTTAAGAAGTCATAAGGTACGCTCCTGTTCAACCGGCAAAGATTTTGCACAACATGCAAAACAAAACAAAAAATCCCAAAGGCCAGGGCGATTATTATGCACTTGAGTTGCTGCACACACCCTTATACCTAAGGCAGGACGCACACACGTTGAACAGCAATAAGCTCTTCCCATCTGTCTTATTAAGGAATTGACATTTTCCTTATTCCTTATTTCCTTATCTGTAACTCAGCACTCTCTGCCCGGCTCCAGCTTGCTTCTTTTCTTAACGATCTAGGAAAATATTCAGACTTGGTTCCCCTTCTTGCAACGGTTATCTGACCACAGCCAGCTTATCTCCCTTTGACGGAGCGTATGAAATTATGAGAGGAATGTTACAGAACTATTAACAATCCAGGAGCACTTAATTTTTGTTTAGCGTTCTAAGGTCTTGAAATAGTTGGGCAATCAGTGATTTAAGGGAGGACTGTTCTGCAATTAAGGGGGAAATTTCGAAGCCGCAGCCAAAGAGGGACAGCCCTCTGTGCTGAACCTTAAATGTTTAGGAACTTCCCCGAATTAAAAACTGTTTAATTTTCCTGATAGATACACTTACCATTATTTAACCTGCAATGAAGTGAGCTTTGCAGCAGCATGGTAAAGGGTTTTTTTTGCAAATCATGTGATTTTGTAAATTCCAGGCATCGACAACTGTGGGAGCCCTGTATTAGGCATATGAAGTGGCCACACACTTAGAAGATTAAATCTAGAAGCACTGCTTTACTTCCATGATCTGACGTTCCACTGAACCACATGCACAATCAGATCATGGGTGTGTTATTCCCTGACATATTTGTGTGTGTGTTCCTACTATCTGTTTGGCATACTCTACATTATACACACTGGTGTAAGAACCTTCTTGGGTGATACCTCAGTCAGTATCAATGCTAGGCCAAGAGCAGAAATGGGTATGTGGGAAACGCTGAAAGACACTTAGCGCTCAAATGCTGGGTTGGTAAGACTTGTGTTACTTGATACTATTTTTATGAACTGGAATATGTAGGGTATATACAAGTAATTACAGTGGTGCCTCGCTTAACGGGCGCCACGTTTAACGATGAAAACGCATAGCGATGAAGATTTTGTGATCGCAAAACCGATCGCATTGCAATGTTTTAAATGGGGGGAAATCGCTTTGCGATGATCGGTACCCTGTTTTGCTTACCGATCATCGCAAAGCGGTGATTTTTTAACTGGGACGGATTCCTTGCTTACTGGGCAGAGAAAATGGCAGCCGTATGGAGAATGTTGTCATGCTGAATTGCAGTTAAAGCTGTACTATTTCCCGGCTGCAGCTATGAACCTCTAAGAGTATGGTTTTCCAAAACAGCATAGGAACAAAAATAAAATATTTGTTTTATATATTACATTTGTTATCAAGCAATGGTAGATCCTGAGATTAGGACATTCATAAAGGTCTACCAGAACCCAGATTGCCTCATGTTTCCAGTCATTCTTTAATTTGTAAAATCCAAACCTAATTCCCCCTCTTCTGATGTTCCGTAAATCTTGTTTTCTGTAATATGGAGAAAGCCCAGCAGGTATAATTTGTCTCTGAGCATAGGCAAAACATTTTTAATTTTTTTTTCATTATGGAATAATTGCATGCTTTACATCTTCACTTACTTAGAATCAGGAAAGTTTGCAATGATCCAGGATATAACCAATGTTTCAAATGCAAGCATTCCAAGTCCAATGCCTGCTGTCCCCAATGTCTAACAACCTCATGATATTCGGCCAAAACCACCCCATATACAACGAATAACAAGGCAAAAACCTCTTATTTGTTGCATCACAGCAGTGAGCGCTCTCAACCAACCAAATTATTTTTAAAGTCTCACTACAGAAAGGAAGGCATGAGTTACTACTTAATTAACAAAACCAAATTAGTTATTTCCAGACTCTGATCCTTATGTGCCCCCTTAGCCAACTTGCAAAGTCTTGTTCACTGAAGAGGAATCTAATCAACATGTCAAAGGATTAAACTCTGTACATTTCAAGCTCTGGTTAAGCGGTTATCAATCCCGTTGATGGTGAACTGCATTTGGATCCAAGCATAGGAACTAAAAACTCTAGCATTCTTAAGCATCCGGCCCTACCATTAGGTAAAGTGCTGCACCCATGTCAGAGAGAAGATTCTGAGTGTGATGACCAAGCATCAACTATGTAGACATTTCACTCGTCGTTTCTGTATTATTATTCTTTTTATTGCTGGAGTGGTGGAGAGGCCCTTGTCTGATTTTTAAGCCTCATTTGCCAAAAATAAATTACCTGGCTTTCGATGCTATGTAACTTAACAGGGAGTGGCATCCTTTGCTTCTCTGATTCGGACTGCAGGATATCTGTGGACGTACGCTCCCCATTCTTAAACTACATCATATCTAGTGGTGCCCCGCATAGCGAGGTTAATCCGTTCCAGATTAACCCTCGCTATGAGGAAACATCGCTAAACGGGACGCAAAATGCTATTGGAACGCATTAAACTTAGTTTAATGTGTTCCAATGGCATCTATACTCACCGTTAAGCGAAGTTTCCTCATAGCGCCGCCATTTTTGCGCCCTCGGTAAGCGAGAACAGGGCACGAAAATGGTTGCGGCAGCTATTCTGGGTCGTCCGGTGGCCATTTTGGAGCCGCTGAACAGCTGATTTCCCGGTGTCGCAATGCGAAGATCAGTAAGCGAAATGCTTACTGATCTTCGCAATGCGAGCTTTGGCCAGAGGCCATCGGTAAGCGATCGCATTAGCGATCTCAAAAAAGAGATCGCTATGCGATTTCGTCGTTCTACGGTGTGCTCGTTAAGCGAGGCACCACTGTATTTGAATGATGGTGATCTTGTGCAGTTTGGCTCTCTTAGCTGCAGAAACAGATCTGCATCCCATTAAAGCCTCTACAACCAATATATAATGGTCACATTTGCATTTAATATAAACAGGAAAAGTAAGGTCTCAAATACAGTCAAACAAAAAAACTTTCCTTAAGTCATGACTAGAATACCGGAATACTCATGCAGTTGTAAAGTACAACATATAGATCATATCATTGAGGCTTTATCTTCCAGAAGACAAGCAAACCAAAATCTACTGGAAGGGTCATTTGCTGTTCTATACTTCATATCCACAGTTTAGGGGAAAACACGGGAAATTTACCCTTCTGAAACCAAAACAGGCCTTCAGGCATGACTTATTCCTGCCAAGTTTCAGATTGAGGTATTCTCGAAGGCTTTCACGGCCGGGATCTGATGGTTGTTGTGGGTTTTCCGGGTTCAGATTAAGCTTCAGGATGTAGCAGGCATTTATTTATTGCAGAAAAACAGAATTGATTTTATGGTTTTGTTTCTCTCATGGATCCCAAACGCTTGCTTCAGTCATTTTACTGCTTGATTGGAGACTCTTGCACAGGATTTTCCAAGGAGCTGCAGTCCAATTTCTGTTTCATTTTTTGCTGAGCAGCAAATATTCCCACCCCCCCCCAAACCGGTAAGAACTACAAAATATGAAGCTGCCCCTACCGTCCACATCCTGGTTGGTGTCTCATTCGTCACCAGGTTTCATCCTCATCTGGGCTTGCATATGGGCAATCATCTCCTGCATGCGACGCAACTGTGCAAAAGACATAAGAATTAAGTTCAAACTTCTAGCACCATTTTTAAAATAAGACTATCTCTACCTTACAGGGTGGGCTCTGGCTTGAATACTGTGGTCCTTTTACTTGCTAGGACCCTGGTTTGCTAACTGTTGGTCAGGCAACCAGTAAGTTGCAGCCTGATCTATGATATGTAATAACAGAAGCATCTAATTTTTATTTCAACAGAGGGAGGGAGACAGAACAAGGCAGGAAGTGAAAAAAGAACTCATTATCCAGTCCTCCCTTGTGCTTTAGTGTAACAAAAAAAAACAGATAAGTTTCAAACATACTATCACTTGCTGTTTGATTCTGTAAGGAACTTAGGATATAATTCATTTTTTTAAAAAAATCACAGTATAGATCATGTAAATATGTAACAAAAGATGCTATTTAAAGGAAAGAAGAAGAATTCTACTCTGTTCTTCAACCGTATTGCTAAGGCACTATCAGAACAAGGTACAGAGAAAGTCAGAAATGGGAAAATTGCTTTAACGGGTGACAACTCTCAAAGCCAACAATGGCCACTGTGACTCCCACCATCTCCCAGCCAGTAGCCAGGATTCTGGGAACTTGTAGTGACCTTGCTGGCTGTGGAATTCTGGAAGTTATAGCTTTTTCCAGTTTCTGGTGAAAACATCCTGCATATTCCCAGAAGCAGTACTGTCGATGATGATGCTAATTAAAATCAGAATCCTTAGGGAACTGCACTGGCCCCAAACCAACACATGCCCTTTCAAAACCGGGTCCATCTTTCCCCGCGGCACTATGCAGTTAGACCCAGTCACCCTTCAAAGTCTGCCGAGTCTCAGGATCAAATCCCACCTTAACGGAGCAATGTATGACCTGCAAATTACATTTTTCCCTCTAGGCACACAATTCTGCCCATGCACCATCAGACCTAGAAACAAAGTCCATGTTTATGTGCTGAAGACCAATCACAGGAAAGCAAGCAACATCATTTGCAAAATGGAACATGCGGCATGGAGTAAGACAATCCCAGGTCTTATCACTTCAGGGAGCACCATTTCTAATGACATGTGAACTGCATTTAGATCACAGACCAGCACTCTCCTCCAGACATCTACAACTTGCTCTGCCCCTCCCATCAGCCTCAGCCAAACAGAGGCTGCTGTCCTCCCACACATCCAGATGGTGCCAGCTTGGGGAAAGCTGTAGCTGTATTCCCTGTGTATTTGGCTACACACGCTAAGCCATTTCGGCGATCACTTCAGAAGGCTGCATTTCACATGCCCTTCTTGGAAAGGTTTGCTGGCGGGTTTCGGGGAAGACCATCTGTTTTTCTTTGCCGCCCGGAACAACACAAGATCGTTTAAAGCCATGAACGGAGCAGCAACGGAGGAAGTCTCATTCCAGAGTGATGGCTTGCCCTACATTCTGTGCGCAGAACTGAAACGATCCCGTCCCTTGACATTTACTTTGGCAAGGAGGAAAGGAAAGGCCTCTTGTAAATATGGAGGCAGAAAATAAATGCCTTCTTCCCTCGCCCCAGCCCACTCAGAAGAAGTGGGGCCAGTCACCGTAAGGCAAAAGAGAGTCACCTCTATTTTTCTGTGTATAAGACGCCCCCCACTTTTCTAACCCAAAATTAAGAAATCTAAGTGGGGCTTAGCAAGTGTAGGGGGAAAGCGATCAAAGCCCTGCAGGATCGCTTTGATCCCTGCTTTCCCTTCCATTCGTTTTTGTTCTCCCCTCAGCTTACTTCCGTGTATAAGACGACCCTCAATTTTTATTCTAAAGATTTTAGACAAAAGTATAGTCTTATACATGGAAAAATACGGTAGCTTCCTGGTATTACCTGATTCATCTATGACAACCGTTCCCAGTCTTTTTTTTTTTTTTTTCGCTTTCATACCTCTTGGTAGCCCATTCCCATAAACTGCACCCTTCGTATTAGCAAAATGTTGGGAATTGATAATATGGATGCTGTGATTTCCAATATACATGTTTTGATTGTAAATAAATAAACAGGCTCAGTGGCGAAACTGCAGTACTGCAGCCAAAACTCTGCTCACAACTCAGGTAGCCAGCTCGAGGTTCACTCAGGCTCCCATCTTTCCCAGGTCGGTAAACCGAGTACTCAGCTCACTTATGGGGTGAGGAAATGCGTACTCTGCATAATTAAATTGTAAGCTGCCAAGAAAGTGCTTTAAGTATTATGGGGCAGTACAGAGTAGGACCCCCCATATCTGCTGGGGATTTGTTGCAAGCTGTGGTGCAGATGCTGAAAAGTGCAGATAATAGCAAATGCTACATATATAGCATGGTAAAAGAAAGAAAAAATTTTTTTCACATGCATTACCAGAGCATGCAACTAGAGGGCTCCAGAGACCATGTCAAATAGTCTTCACTAATAAGTATTCATAGCACAGACTCTAGCTCCCTCTAGTGGCTGGTTCTAGTAATACATATGAAAGATATTTTTCCCCTCTGGATTTTTTTCTTTTAAGATTTTTAATATTTTCAGACTGTGGATAAGTCCTACTTATAAGCAGCATGCTTTGCTTTGCTTTTTTTAAACTGCCCAATAATGGGATTTAAAAGCAATGGAATAATAAGATAACAGATGGTGCCTATATGTTTGCATTCAAAACTGAAAAAATACTGTGAATTCAAATAAATACATTACAGAAGACACTCACTGAACACAGTTCACAGGACTGACTGAGGCGCCCGCTTGTGTATATACCAGTACCAATGTGACAGTACTCGAACGTTCACAAAGCAGAGAAGAGTGACAGCTGACCCTCTGAGAGGTGCACCACCGAGCGTGCGTGGTGTAGTGGTGTGTTCACAACACATTTAGGAGGCAGGGACTCCCCACCATTCACCAAAACAACAAAGTGAGGGACTGGGACTTTGTTCAAGGTTAAATAACAAAGAAAACCCCTTCTGATCCTCATCATAATGTTCAATTAATTTCACCAACTTCTGACTTAAGATTGTTGACCTATGTGCCTTTTCCCATCATGGTGTACCTATTTATCTACTTGCATTTACATGCTTTTGAATTTCTAGGTTGGCAGAAGCTGGGACAAGTGACGGGAGCTCCCTCCGTTGCGTGGATTCGATCTTACGACGGCTGGTCTTCCGACCTTGCAGGACAGAGGCTTCTGCGGTTTAACCTGCAGCGCCACGTCCCTTTTAACTTACATACTCCCAACCGTCTCTTCCCTTCAACCTGTTTGTTACTCTTGTCCAAGCCACCTCTGGTCTCAATCAGCAAGGAAACAGCTCCGTTCATCATGACCTGCCAGGCCCTCTTCACAACCAATTGGCCACTGAGTCAATTAGCACAGGCAGAAATCACTTGCTCTGTGCTTTGCAAATTAACTCATACTCTTTTCTACTAATCAAATCTTGCAGGCTAAAAACAGAGTAAAGGATTAAAAGAATTTCAAGACAGGGAGGGGGAAAAAACAGCAACAGGAAGATGTTCCCACGATGCAGAAGCCGTTCTATGGTATCCAAAATATTTTTAACTAGCCACTAATCTGGAGGCACAGGGACAAAAAACACACAGAGGGGGGGGGGAGAGAAGAAGAAAGTTCTATATACACTATCCCAAGCCAGCTGTAATTATTTTTTATTCAATTCTCCCGCGGGAAACTTTTTTTTCATGGGACCCCTTTGGGTATTCGTAAAAGCTACATTCTTCAAGTGTGACAAGCTGCTGGGCCTGTGCTATTTATGGACATGGCTTTTTATTTTATTGTACTGCCTTCAAGACAAACTGCAATTTTTTTAAAAGGGTCTGGAAAAAAATGTATATATCTTGTGCCTGTTTGTGTGCACACCTGCCTGCCGGCACACTTCGAGATTTCCACGTGAAACCTCAGACCAAGTTCACAGTTAGAACAACTTTCCCATGGGGGAACCCCTAAGAGACGTTTCACTGTAGATTCCATCATGGATCGACAACAGCCGATTGGCTGTGTTGATAGCAGGGTTGATGGGAACCAGGGAACACATCTGGAATCTGGAAAGCTCCTAGTTATGGAGGATGCTCTAATGAAAGGTTCTCCACTTTGGGTCTCCAGATGTTCTTGGGTTGCAACCCCCAGAAATCCTGGCCAGCACAGCTAGCGGTGAAGGCTTCTGCAACTTTGAGTCTAAGAACATCTAGGGATCTACGGCTGGAAACGACTGCAAGTCTATGAGAACGACTATGGAAGCAGACATTTTTTGTCCTCTCCTCCGGACAAAACAGAGCCTACCAAAACATACACAAACCATACAGTATTGCCTTACTCGGCTGATGGTCCGTCTTTGTCGTTAACTTGTCTTTGACTCTACCTAGCCTCTTGTTTTCCAGCTTCTCAGCCTAAGATTTTAGCCTGCATTGAATCGAGAATCTTGGGTTTACAAAAGAACAGTCTCTGCTTTTGAGCTACGTCCCACCTCCGGCCACCGGAAAGCAGACCAATGAGGGGGAACAGAAAGATAGCCTCTGTCTATCCGCTTGCTATAGCATTTTTCCTACAACATTTTCATTTCAGCCTTGCCAGATATCATGTTAGAACTGCAAAGCCGGAAGGGGAGGGGGGTGTAAAGCGTATACAGTGGTGCCTCGCTTAACGATGTTAATTCGTTCCAGCGAAAATAAAAATCCCATTGAAATGCATGGAAAACCATTCAATGTGTTCCAATGGGCTAAAAACTCAGTGTCCAGCTAAGATCCTCCATACGGCGGCCATTTTCAGTGCCTGTATAGTGAGGAATCCGTCCCTAAGCACAGCGGGGAGCCATTTTAAGCACCCGGCGGCCATTTTGAAAACATGACGATCAGCTGTTTTTGATCGTCTTAAAGCGAAAATCGGTTCCCGAAGCAGGGAACCGATCATCGCTAAGCAAAATTCCCCCATTTAGACCATCGTTTTGCGATCGCAATTGCGATCACAAAAACATCATCGTGAAGCAGATATGTCTTAATGCAGGGTAATCGTTAAGCGGGGCACGACTGTAGTTGAACTGTTAGCCTCCCAGGGAATGTTTTCTGCCCTCTCTCCACTGCTATGAGGCGGTATATAAGCAGCACACTTTGCTTTGCTTAACCTGAATGTTATTTTCTTACAGTCTGCCAGTTTGGGAGCGTAGGACGTTTCTTAGATTTTGATCGCCACTTCTCAGGTTTCATGGGCTAATCATTAAGCTTCAAGTTGCTTTCTTGATCCTGCACCCCCAAAGTGGTAGCATGTGAAGAAACATCCCCCGCAAACAGAATTATCAATAAAGGAGGTTTGTTGCCGCATCACAGTACAGCAGATTAAGTGGAGTGTAAGAAAATGAAACAATGATAAAACCTTTAAAAACACACATACCAATAAGTAACTCATTAAAATAAACAGCCCCATAAACAAACCATGGAAATCAAGCCTGTTGTAACAAGGTAACATGGTTGGCTACTCCCGAGAGCTATATCTTATAAATACTCATTTCTCCGAGAATGAATAATAATTTCACCCATTTTGAACTTTTATAACCGTGACCCTGTTCTATCTACTTCCTCATGTTAAATATTACCCTTTGCCCATTCCAAATTCCTACATTATCTTCATTTTTATCACGCCCCTGGGAATTTAGCAGTCGAGAAGCTTGGACCATATACTGCCCCCTTCTGGTTCCCTAATCATACTGTAATCTTGCGGTGTCGTCTTTAAAAACTTTAAATATGCAAAACCCACAACAGTTCTACATCAAAGAAGAAATGGAAGTCACTCTGATCACAATCTAGTCATTCTAAATTCAGAATATTTCCATTAAGGACAATCACTCCTTTAAAAGCGGCTTCATGCTGTTACAGAACAGCAGCTAATTTTTTCCAAATAGATCTTCTTTTTTTAAAAAAAATGGATTTCCAAAGAGGAAACATGGAGATGTCACATGATAAGCGCTAAATGCGTAACTGGCGAGGAGAAGAACACAAGCCTTCAGATCTGAGCTATTTCCTCCAAATGATGGTTTTATAGTCTTTTTCGGTTCAAGGACAAGAATCTCTTTCAACCGGAGAGGCAAAATTCCGTTTCAGCTGCCTTTCAGTGCTAGGCTTGGCCAAAGGTGGAACCAAAATACCACTTGAGTTTAAACCTGTTACTGCCAATAACTAAGCTTCAGAAGAGGGTTTTTTTATAGAATGAAGAAAATGTACAAAAGCTAGGAACCGACCCACCCCGAAGAAAGAGTATCGCAGAGAAAAAGGCTTCCTTTGATGTCTATCAAAGGAAGCTCAGAAGCTGTGCTCCAAGGAGAAAGTTGGATGATTCTGTCCCACCCCTGAGATTCCTCAAGCTTGCTCCAGCTGAAACAGTCTGGAGAACCAGTAGCTCTACTGGGATGCTGATCAAACATGACTTCCATCATCCTTCACTGGGCATCTTCAAAAATGCCCCTTCGCTGGGCATCTTTAAAAACCAACTGTAAACTTGGATGTTTAGGCAGGCCTTCCCTCCAGTTAATGCTTGATTTCTTTTTCTTCTTATATTTTATCTTCCCCCCCCTTTTTTTCATCTTGAATAACTTGTCTATTGATGTTTTTAAAAAATTGTTATATTTTATACGTGGTTATACAGTATACTGTATGTTGGTAGCCGCCTAGAGTGGCCGTTTGACTAGATAGGCGGGGTATAAATGCAATAAATAAATAAAATAAATAAATCCCTCATTACCAATAAGTCTGGTAGAGAGTCCAAAAAGATCTAGAGAGCCACAAGTTCCCAGCCTGGATGTAACGGGTAGGTATCTTAGATCAGTAGAACTGGAAGGGACCATATGGATCATCAAGTCCAGACCATCAAGAATGCACAGTAGGGAATTTAAACTTGCAACCTCTGATTCTGAGGTCAGAGACATAAAAAACCGTAGTTTCTATGGTGGGTCACTGGCCATGCTGATGGGGGGGCGGTTTGAAAGTTGCAGTCTCAAAAAAAAAAGTATTCTAAGCTATGATGTAGGGGAAAAACACTTAAATAAATATCAGACCCTAAAATGTTATGAGCAAAGTACAGTCTGTGACATTTCTATAAAAAGCTCAAAGCAATATGACCTATAAGCTTCTTCCTTTTTTCTAAAATAGCCTTCAGTTTCACAAATGCAATAAATTTTGTTTCTGGACAGCAGAGTACGGTGGAATAAAAAAGGCAGATCAGAAAACACAAACCAGCTGTCTTAAGGGAAAGCAAAAATAAACGCACATGTGTCCAAAATGGTCTTGTAAAGGTGCTGAAGAATTCAGCAGAGAGATGAATGGTTGTTTCAAGCAGCCAAGGACAGAATTGTTTCATAAAATCCAGAATAATTATCTTGCAGAAGTGATGTCTTGATCATGAGGATCCTGGCGCCTCCCCAGGTCTTCGCTTCCTCCCCTCCACCATTAAGTAAACCATGCAGTTCTGTAAACAGAACTTCAAGCACCAAGGCTGCTCAGAATATAAGAGCAGAAAGGGAAACCGATGTTTGTGTTCTCAGCAAAAGCTCAGGAATGTCACGCCATTTCCTCTGGCTTCTCCCCGCCCTGCTTCCAGCCTTCCCAGACTGAAGTCCTCAAACAGACTGCTTTGGCGATAAAGCGATTGTGACACCTTATCTATATGAGATGAAGGGCGTAATCGCACAAACCATAATGTTGTTGTTGTTTAGTCGTTAAGTCATGTCCGACTCTTCGTGACCCCATGGACCAGAGCATGCCAGGCCCTCCTGTCTTCCACTGCCTCTCGGAGTTGGGTCAAAGTCATGTTGATCACTTCGGTGACCTTGTCCAACCACCTCGTACTCTGTCGTCCTCCATCTCTTGTTCTCTTCACAGTTTCCCAACATCAGGGACTTTTCCAGGGAGTCTCCTCTTCTCATGAGATGGCCAAAGTATTGGAGCCTCAGCTGCAGGATCTGTCCTTCCAGGGAGCACTCAGGGTTGATTTCCTTCAGAACGGATAGGTTTGTTCTCCTTGCAGTCCAGGGGACTCTCAAGGGTCTCCTCCAGCACCACAATTCAAAAGCATCAATTTGAATTTGTATTTGTGATGTATTTGTGGGTGGATGTTGGAAAAGTGTGAAGGCAAGAGGAGAAGGGGACGACAGAGGATGAGATGGCTGGACAGTGTCATCGAAGCGACCAACATGAATTTGACCCAACTCCGGGAGGCCTTGGAAGACAGGAGCGCCTGGTGAGCTCTCATCCATGAGGTCACAAAGAGTCGGACACAACTTAACAACTAAACAAAACAAAGCAAAAAGATGGGAGGGAGCTATGCCAATCCCAACCCAACATTGTGGCTCTTCTCCATAATCTCATGACATTTTTACACCAGAGCAGGGGTTCCCAACTTTGGATAATCCAGATGTTCTTGGCCTTCAATTCCCAGAAGCCCCGACCACCACAGCTGGTGGTGAAAACATCTGGAAATTGCACTCCAAGGACATCTGTTTGAGAACCACTGCTCTCGACCAACCAAACCAATATAAATATCAGGGGCAAACTGTCACAAGTTCAAGATGCCGGTTTATGTGATTTGGGACCCAAGAGCCAATGGCTGAGGCCAAATTCTTAATTTGTAGCAATGGGTTGCTGAGATTTACACGGGCAGGCCCTGATCCATATGACTGCGGCTCATAGGTTTCATCTGCCATGCCTTGTGTGGACTGCACCCCTTTTTCATGGAAGATAAATAAAATGTGTCTTCGCCTTCGCAAATACATAAAACTTGTCCTGTCTTTAAAATATGGTGGACAAGCTTGGGAGGCCCAATTGATGCTTGCAAACTGTACCACGGGTGGCACCGGCCTCAGAGATGACCATTCATATCTTTTAAAAAAATCTAAACAGGAAGGACCTAAAAGATATTTCTAGTTTTGTTCTTTTGGGGTAGGGGATGTTCTGGGGCCCGAGGGCCTTCTTTGCGACAATGCAAAAAAATAAAAAAAGCACAGTCGCTTTTACAAAGTTTTTTAAAGGCTCCAGGAGTGGAAATAGGACATTTTTGACTTAAAAAAGAAGAAAAGGTGGCCAAAGTTTTTAAAAGGCTCCAGGAGTGGAAATCGGACTTTTTTGACTTAAAAAAGAAGAAAAGGTGGCATTGTACTTCACTCATCTCTGTTTTAAGGTGGCACAAAACTCTTTGCTGTTTATTCCGCAGCCAGCAGTGGGCGCTAGCCACGCGGCTATCGGACAGGAGAAGGATGTAGTGACAGAGGTTGGGAGAAAAAGGACTGACCACTAGGGGGCACTGTCTGTCCTCAAAAGTGACTTTTTTTCTGCTGCGTCTTGCACACCACATATTCGGAAGGTCATTACTGCAGGAAGATGCCTCACGCCACAGGTTGTTGGCATGGTATCGCTCTCATCCTTACCTCTGCCTCTTTCTGCTGGAGGATCCGATCTTTGTCCACAACCTCTTCCTCAACAGGCCTGCCAGGGAGAAGACAGACAGACGTCAAGGGCACAGATTCCAACCACATGGCTGACAGATTTCCAAAGCATCGCTTCTCCCATGAGGTAGGGAGTGTCGATGCTGCCTCAAATGGCAGCTGGTTGCAGGACAGGAGTGGTGGAGGTGAGGAACGGGAGGAAAGAGCCGTGCCAACCGGTCGTGAACCCCCTCAACTTTCTCCTCTAAACTGCAACAGGAGACACATCCTGCATTCATGGTTGAATGGCCAGTTTAATTGGCTTCTACAAATGCAACATCTCCTTTTTTTTCTTTTATATACAGTGGTGCCTCGCAAGACGAGCGCTTCGTTTAACGATGAAATCGCATAACGAAGAAGTTTTTGCGATTGCAAAAGCGATCGCAAAACGATGTTTCCTATGGGTTTTTTTTCACTTTGCAATGATCGGTTACCTGCTTCGCTAACCGATTATCGCAAAATGAAGATTTTCGCACAGCTGATTGGCGGTTTCAAAATGGCTGCCGGGTTTTTAAAAATGGCCGCCCGCTGTTTTCTGGGACGGATTCCTCGCTGCACAGGCAGCGAAAATGGCCGCGCTATGGAGGATCTTCGCTGGACGGTAAGTTTCAAGCCCACTGGAACGCATTAATCGGGTTTTAATGCGTTTCTATGGGCTTTTTAAAATCGCTTTACGATGTTTTCGTTCTACAGCAATTTCGATGGAACAAATTAATATCGTAATGCAAGGCACCATTGTACTAGAAAATTGTGTTTCATTCAACAGTGCTTTCACATTTTAATTTATGTGTGTTTTGCCATTATAATTGTTTGTTATGTTTTATTTGTACCTGCTTCTCCCCTTTTTTTTCTCTTTATCTATTGTATTTTTCTTGTGAGCACCTTGGATAACAATTCTGGGAGAAAAGGTAAAGGTTTCCCCTTGACATTCAGTCCAGTCGTGTCCGACTCTAGAGCGCGGTGCTCGTCCCCGTTTCAAGCCATAGAGCCAGCGCTTGTCTGAATAGTTTCTGTGGCCACGTGGCCAGTGTGACTAGACACGGAACGCCGTGACCTTCCCACTGTGGTAATACCTATTTATCTATTCCCATTTTTACATGCTTTCGAACTGCTAGGTTCACGGGAGCTGGGACAAGCGACGGGAGCTCACTCCGTCACATGGATTCGATCTTACGACTGCTGGTCTTCTGACCTTGCAGCACAGAGGCTTCTGCGGTTTAACCTGCAGCGGCACCACGTCCCTTAGAGAAAAGTGAGATATAAATTAAATAAATAAACACACACACACTGTATATACTGTGTGTGTGTGTTTGTGTGTACGGTGCTGCCAGATCAGAACTGACTTTTAATGACACCAATATGGCTTTGAAGACAAAGATATTTAAGGAGTTCTTTTCCCAGTTCTACAGACACGCCCAGTGAGTTTTCATGGCAGAACCACAACTCAAAGCCAGGTCTCCCGAGACCTAGTCCTTCACCCTATCCACTACGCCACACCAGGTGTCCCCAAATAGGTACGGCATCAATCCTATGGTGGGAGTGAGTTCTGCCTTTCACCTTCAGGCTTCACCATTTTACATAAATACATGGATGCCGTATCTATAAAGTTAAAGGTTCCCCTTGACAATTTTGTCCAGTCGTGTCCGACTCTAGGGCGCGGTGCTCATCCCCGTTTCCCAGTAGTCCCCAACCTTGGGCCTCCAGATGTTCTTGGACTACAATTCCCAGAAGCCTTCACCAGCACCTCTGCTGGCCAGGACCTCTGGGAGTTGAAGTCTAAGAAGATCTGGAGGACCAAGGCTAGGGACCCTTGCCGTTCCCAAGCCATAGAGCTAGCGTTTGTCCGAAGACAATCCTCCGTGATCACATGGCCAGCACGACTAGATATGAAACACTGTCAAAATGGGTGCAAGAGCTTTGATTTCCTAACAAGCCCTGATGCTAGTCTCTTGCTGAAAACATCACAGCGTCTTGTGGAACCTGAAGGGCGACCAAGTTTGGTTCCACACCCGCTGTCCTAAACCACAAACCACTTCCTTCAGAGGCAACTTGGTTTTTTCCACTTTTGGTTCGTAGTAGGTAAAGCTTTCTATGGACACCTCCCGCCTCTTCCGCCATGTCGCTTTTACGCAAAGGAAGTCATCACGGAAGAGGTTGGAGGTGAGCACGTCCCTCCACACTGGATTCGCACTGCATGCTTTTCCTAAGGCTTGAACATGAATAGCAACCAATTCTCCTTCTGACGTTTGCGGCTTTCCTCCGTGCTTTCAGGTTGGGAAAAGGAAGAGCGATCAGAGGTTTGTAGGGGAGGCTGTTATCCTGCAGCCCAGGCTGATAAGGAGAGGAGACAAAGGGACAAGACAGGCAACGCAACACGACTCACTTGCCAGTGCGCTTTAATCTCTCAGACCGGAAGTTCTCGTAGTGCAAATCTTGGGTTACTTCTTGAAGATCCTGCATGTGTGTCCTGAAATGAGAAATGGCATCGCTGACTTTTTAAAAAAAAATTTAGGCCCAGGTTGTTGTTCAAGTTGGAACCGACTGACAGAGACCCTAATAGGGCTTATAAGGTAAGTGAGATAATGCAACTCCCCCAATAAATTGCACTGTGGAAAACCATTTTCATTGGTTTCTGCTGTTCTACCAGTGAAAACCCAGCCTACTGAAATTCTGTTTTGAGATTTTCTAATTGCGAGATCCTGCTATGCTTAATTTTAAAAAAATCATTTCTAACTTGGAATGCATCATGCCTAATGAAAGATACAAAATGGGAGAACCTTCAGTGACAAATTGAACATAAAGATGTCGGAGAAGGGGGGGTTGCTCTGTTAGTCTGTTGCAGTAAAATGACTACAGTCCCATCAGTACTACCCTGTCACTGGAAAAATCTTCCCATCCATTGTGAAAATAGCATTCACCGAATCATAGAATTATAGAATAATGGAATTACAATAGGTCTACAAAGCCATCAAGTCCAACTCTCTGTTCAATGCAGGAATCAAAGTCAAAGAAGATCTGACAGATGGTTTCCAATTTTCTCTTGAATGCCTCCAGAGTTTGAGCGCTCACCAACTGAGGTCATTGGCTCCATCGTTGTACTGCTCTAACAGTTAAGAAGCTTTTTTCCTGATACTCAGCCTAAATCTGGCTTCCTGTAGCTTGAGCCCATGATTGCATGTCTTGCACTCTGGAATGATCAAGAACGGATCCTGCCCCTCCTCTGCATGACTGCCTTTCAAGTACAGTGGTTAGTTAAAGAGTTTTTTTTCCTGATACTCAGCCTAAATCTGGCTTCCTGTAGCTTGAGCCCATGATTGCATGTCTTGCACTCTGGAATGATCAAGAACGGATCCTGCCCCTCCTCTGCATGACTGCCTTTCAAGTACAGTGGTGCCTCACTTAACGATTGCCCCACATTATGACGAATCGCTTTACGACGATCTTTTTGCGATGGCAATTGCGATTGCAAAACGATGGCCTAAATGAGGGAATTTCGCTTAGCGATGATCGGTTCCCTGCTTTAGGAACCGATTTTCGCTTTACAATGATCAAAAACAGCTGATTGTCGGGCTTTCAATGCCGCCGGGTACTTAAAATGGCTCCCTGCTGTGTTTAGAGACGGATTCCTCGCTATACAGGCAGCGAAAATGGCCGCCGTATGGAGGCTCTTTGCTGGACGGTGAGTTTTTACCCCATTGGAACGCATTGAACGGGTTTCAATGCGTTTCAGTGGGGTTTTTAATTTCGTTTTACTATGTTTTCACTTAACGGCGATTTTCCTGGAACAGATTATCTTCGTTAAGCGAGGCACCACTGTATTTGAAAACTGCTATCCTATCTTCCCTCAGTCTTCTTTTCTCAAGGCAAAACATGCCCAGTTCTTTCAGTCTTTCCTCAGAGGGGTTGGTTTCCAACCTCTTGATCATCCTTGTTGCCCTCCTCTGAACTGGCTCCAGTTTGTTAGCATCTTTCTTAAAGTGTGAACTGGACACAGTACTTTAGATGAGGCCAGACCCGGGCTGAATAGAGGGGAACTAGTACCTCACGGGATTTGGAAACTGTACTTCTGTTAATGCAACCTAAAACAGCTACATTATGACTTTTCAATTCAATAGGATAAAACTTGTTGCGTGAAAACTGTCTAGCAGAGCTGGTCCTTCAACCGGAATCTTATTGGTTGAAAGGTATTAACGGAATTATATTTTATAGCCATTCTATGGAATTTAGCTCACAAAGTCTGATTAATGGATTTACTTGGGTACTAATAACTCAGACATTATTAAATTTTATCCAGCTAAATGACTCTACCATAGTTCTGGCTTTTCATCAATATTTTTTTTCTCAGTACCTAAGGTATTCTCCACATGACTCAGTTTGGTGTTTCACAGACAAATGTATTTGTAAAAACAGCTTGTATTTACAGTGGTGCCTCGCTTAACGAGGATAATCCGTTGCAGCGAAATCGCTGTACAGCGAAATCTTCGTTAAGCAAATAAAAAATCCCACTGAAACGCATTGAAAACTTGTTCAATGCATTCCAATGGGCTGAAAAACTCACCGTCCAGCGAAGATCCTCCATAGGGGAGGCCGTTTTCGGTGTCTGCATAGCGAGGAATCCATCCAAAAATACAGCAGGGAGCCATTTTACACAGTGGGCGGCCATTTTGAAGCCACCGATCAGCTGTTTTAAAAACGTCGTAATGCAGGGAACCGATCGTTGGGAAATGAATTTTGCCTATTAAAACATCGTTTTGCAATTGCAAAAGCGATAGCAAAACAGTCATTTTATAACGGTTTCGTTGTTTAATGAGGCAATCGTTAAGTGAGGCACCACTGTACTATGATTCAAAACTGAACATGAATTGGGTGTACAGTCAACCTGTACTTCAGTGATTGAGTTATAAATGTATGTGAGCTAAGAATGGAAATAAATATACAATGAAAATAAATCCAGTGTCTGACTAAATTTCTTGCCAATTGGAATATTTAAATAATTCAGATAAAAAAAAAATCTTCTATTTTGTTTGCACAGGCATGTCAACATTATAAATTCCAACTAAATACATGATTTTAACTTCTAAATGAGGTGCGTGCTAATGAGATAAATCCTAGAAAACAAAGTAGAGTAAAAATAATTTCCATAGGTTCTTAGCAGCACAGAAGATTGAAACAAAAAAAAATCATACATAGTTTTCCGCGAAAGAAAGAAGTAAAGCTTCTGGATCTATCTGAGATCTAATGCAAAGGTGTTTTTTGTGGTCAATACATTCAAGAGAGATGACTAATTCATAACCGAGGCAGAGACTAAATGAGGAAGTCTACTCACACCAGCATAGTACGTAGCTTCAGGAAATCGTTGTGTTCTGGATTCTCAACTTCCACCACCCCCCACGGGTACAGGCGACCTCTGATCTTTTTTCCTTTCACTTCGATAAGCTGGTTGGATCCAATCACAGCAAAAGGAATGCTCGCCTAGATGAGTTTTTTTAAAAAAAATACAGAAATTCCATCTGACAACATCATCACTGAAGAATGCCACATGCATCTGGAGGAACACTCACACACTGAATGTCCACATACTGTGCCCCATGGAAAGACACCCCTAGCCTCCATGGAAAGCAATGCTTTTATTTGCACAGCAAAGAAGAAGTTGAATCCATGGATGGTGAAGCATTTTGCTACAGAAACACAAGTCATTTCCCTTTGGGGCGGGGGGGCAGAGACTGCTAATGGCTCTTTTTCAACAGCCTAAACTTTTGCTCTACAGAATCAGAATGCAGACTTAAAATACTGTTTATAGAACTATTTTCTATTTATTTCTATTTAGTTATTGAAATTGATTTGTGAGAATTAATGTATTAAAATTCATGAACATTTTGTTCATAGTACATTTAAACAAAGCACAATGTATACAAACAGCACATCCTTCTTGCTATTCCCATGGAGGACGGGAAATTGATTCCCATGGAAAACTGTGAATTCAGGCAGCTTGCCAAATTCCCTACTTATCATATTCTGGAGGGACAGAAAATGACTGTAGTGTAGGATGAATATGTATAGAATAAGGGTTACTACAAGGAAATGACACTTTGACCTTGAAATTGCCAACCCCACCTTCAGGACTCTTGTCTGTTCCTTGAATTCTTCATCCTCGTCAGAATCAGCATCGGGCAACTGGTAAATGCGAATACCATGCTCAGAAATCTCATCTAGAACCTGGAGGAACATGTAAACGATAGAGAAGATGTTTATTTATTGTGGCATGCTTCTGGCTAAGTATATGCATTTTTATTTATTCAGCCGCTCAGAGTGGTCTATTAGATCAGATGGGCGGGATACAAATCAAATCAATAAATAAAATAAATAAATTATTCATAGTACGTTATTCATAATCTTATATTCTAATCAGCATCGTTTTTTGATTGCTCAACAAAAAGTAAACATAGGCTTTATTTGCACATCCTGTTGCTGGTCTGTGTATCTTTGAGCATGCATTTTTATTAACTTTGGTGCCTGCTAACCCCTATTACTTCTGCATTAGGGAAGGGCAAACGGTGTCTAATTGTGTCTAACTGGACTGCAGGTCCCATGATCTCTTGTTGCCTTAGGGAAGGGCAAACGGTGTCTAATTGTGTCTAACTGGACTGCAGGTCCCATAATCTCTTGTCATTGGCTCGAAATGCTGGGAGTTGCAATCCAACCATTCATGGAGGGTCATAGCATCTCACCCCGTCCATCTTACACATTTCAGTTATTCAATTATTAGATAGAACAGATCTGGAAGAACCTCCCTATTCCCAATGTTTGGACTTCAGCTCCCAGAAGCCCCTGCCAACATAGCTAGTACCAGATTATGGGACTTGTAGTCCAAAACAAGTTGGAGGCCAGACATTCTCTACCCCTGCTACTGACACTGACACTACATTTCAAGGATAGACGTCTTCGTCTGCTGCAGAAAAAACAAAGAGTATCGTGGCCCCTTAAAGACTAACATGTTTTATTAAGACATGCTTTCTCGTAAAATGTATAAGGCTTTATGGTGCCACCAGTTGATTGTTGGTTTTGAGTTGCTGGATAGTTCAACAGTTTAGGTCTCTGGCCAAATAGTCAGAGGTTGGGAGTTCAATTCCCCTACTGGGCCTCCTTGACAAGGGCTGGACTGGATGATCCATAGGGTCACATCTGGCTGTGCATTTCAAAGGTTATTAGGAATATGTTATTATTTCCTACTTTGTTGTCACCTGAAGTCACTTTAAACAGTTTCTAGGTAGAATATTAGCCAGCAGACGATCCCAGCATCTTACGGGAGAGCAAGGGCAAAAGTTCAGATCAAATATAAATGACTTTTTTAAAAAAATCATTCTTTGAGAAGCCGCTCGTGACACATTTCAGAGCTCAACAAACTGTATTTGATTCTTTGATGTTCTTCCAGGCCCGTTACAGAAACTAAAACAGCAAAGGATGACATGATCATTTAAAAAATATTAGAATGGACAGATTAACAAAGAGATTAAAAGGACAAGAAAAACCAATTTATTACTTAAGCTGGAATACATGTTGTGATTGGTGCAAAACAAAAGTTATGTAATAAATAGAACGAAAATGAACAATATGGAGATCAAAATGGAAGAAATGTAATAGTGAATAAGATTGCTTGTAGGTTAAGCTCTAAAAATGGTTTGTTTTATTTATATATAATGTCTTTGTATATTTGTAAATTCTATGTTGGAAAATAAAAAATTATTACAAAAAAAAAGGGAAACAAAAAATTCCAGCTAAATCCCGACCAGGAGACACTGATTTAACCTTGTTCTATGGGATGCCAACTAATATCGGATCTGGTTGTTATTGGCTGTCAACCTCCATCAGCCTCCCCATCATGATTCTGCCTAGGGATGGGGGTAAGTGTAGTCTCCTCTTCTCGGTTTGATGCCAGCTGTCCAGAATCCAGACCACCAAAATCATGCAACATAAGGGAGACGGGATAAGGAGAAAAGAAGGAGCCTGTAAACCTAATGCTTGTTCTGTGCGTAATAAAACCATACGTTTATGAAGCTGAAATCTTTACTCTTGGATCACCCTGTACCATCCAAATTCAACAATCCCGGGTCACTTGGTAAACTCAAATGTTACGAGATGGGTAAAGCAAGTTGGTTGAAGGGCGTGTCAGGATTTACTCTCTCCAGGAATTCAGCTGCATTTACTCTTTCTAAATAACGGTGTGCCATCTCCTTGAAAATATATGGTGTACGCCCAGCCCCAAATTCTTAGAATGCTGCCTTTCGCCAGCCCCATGAAACAAGAAAGCCCATTTATCTGGGCAGAGATCTTTGCGATAAACCCCGCAAGAGAAAACAATGGCGGGAAAACTAACAAGGGTGCAGGAATAATGGATCGCGGCTGTTCTAACCCAGCGCTTTCCTGAAAGGAAAAAAGAAAAAAAAAGAAAGAAACAGGAGGGAAACAAACTGTATGTAACACTGTCGACAATGAAACATATTTTTTTTGCTCCTTCAAACATCAGTTTTATTAGCCCCAGGGGGTTCTGTGGTTCCTAAAGATTACGTTTTCCCCAGGGAAGGAGAAGAAGTCAAAATCCAAAGTTCTCTTGCTCCTGTAATCGTTCGTCTGAGCAGGTTTCCTCTTGCGGTTTTGCAAAGCCCGGCCTGTGAAACTTCCATCCAATACTTCCCACTAAAGAAAGGGTTCTTAAAAATTAAAGAGAAAAAAAAATAAAGATTGAATCCCTTGAAATCAAAACAGGAATTACTCCAAGCTGAGTTTCCTTCACAGAAGGTCCAGACAACTAAAGCTTTCTGCTTATTGAAAAAACTCAGATTTTTTTTTATAAAAGCCCCCCTCTTTACCTTAGATGGACTGCCAAATGGCAGAAACATCTAAAACACAGAAAAACGCTTCAAAGCTGGAGACAGATTCTGATCCCCTTGCTTGATTAGAGATTTTGCATTTAGAGACGCTTTTGAGTTAGAAAAATATACAGTAGCTAAGCTTTCAAAGCTTTGGATCAACATTAAACACCACATCCCGTTATGCTGTTTCTAACGACAGCGGGCCGAAATGGATGAAAAACAATCGTGAACCAAATGTTTATTTGTCCCTCAACTGCTCCTTATTAGGTAAATCTTGTTACTCTTTTGTGTGCACATGAAGGGGGTGAAAATCAGCATGCTGATGGCGTTCAATCGAGAAAAGGCATGGCTGTTAACAGATGTGCATGTCAGGCGGAAACCTTCTGTCAACATCTGGAAATAAAATTTACAAAACATTGTGTTTTAAATAGTCAAGTAAGTGGCTGAGTATGGAGGAAGCAGGTGGAAAACAATGTAGGGTTTCATTGAAAAATACCTATATAAAATGCTTTACATATTCTCTGCCCACAATGCAGGGGTGTGGAGCTTTTTCCATGCAAAAGGCTGCTTTGTCACGGAGCTGAATAAGACCAGACAGAGCTTGCACCTCTAAATGCCATTATGTAAGATGGTGACGCTCTAGTCAATGCACGCTGTGTGAAATACAGAGCTGGAAAGCAACCACACTCTAGCCTTGGTTGGATCCTGTTGTCCTAACCTGGGTCCCTTCGAGGTTTTTGCATCAATTTTCCATCCCCAGAACCTGCAGGGCAACCGGTCGGGACGAAAAAACATACCCAGCCACAAGGACCAGGGATCATTGCGCAAAAAAGACCAGCTAAAGGCACCCATCAATCACAGTGACAGATAATCTCTCCCCCTGATCACAACAAAAACACGCTATCATCCCCCTATCTCCTGAAAAGGACAAAAGCTGTTCCCACAGCTATAAATACTCAACTATCCAACAAACAACAACAGAGCATGGACAGAGTTCCTACTCCAGTCCTCTGAAGATGCCGGCCAGAGACTGGCGAAACGTCAGGAAGAACAACCTTCTGAACACGGTCAAAGAGCCCGAAAAACCCACAACGACTATCTGGACAGACCTAAGTAGGTCAGGCAACCTTACATGATAGCAGGAGAAAGATGTCTATGGAGACATACATATCCTTCGAGAGAAGAGTGGTCGTTTTCATTCTACCAGGGGGGGAAGATCAGGTTCCTTGGCAGAACGACTGAAGGGGCTTCAAAGGTTAAGACCCATTGGATTCAACTCTCCAAGACATTACCCACCCGTCTCTTCAGTCTCTCTCTCTCCTTCAGCGTCAAAGTGTCTGCCTTGGCAATCACGGGGACGATGTTCACTTTTCCATGAAGGGCTTTCATGAATTCCACATCCAAGGGCTTCAACCTGAAAAACCAAGGATCAAAACCCTTAAATAAATGGTATGAAAGCAAAGCAAAATGTGCTGCTTTTACACCACCTCACTGCACGGAAAGCACGCTCTGGGTGGTTTTTCAACGTAATTATGCAGGCTGCACATCACACAACCCTCTCCCTTGCTCTGTGAGCTGGGGACTCATTTGACTGACCTTGGAAGGATGGAAGGTTGAGTCAACCTTGGGCCAATCTACCTGAATCTGGCAGGATCAGGATCAGAGTGTGAGCAGAGTCTTGGCTGCAAAACTGCAGTTTAGCCACTGCGCCACAAGGCTCCTATACAGATTGTATCTCTATACCGTATTTTTCTGTGTATAAGATGCCATACAGATTGTATCTGTATACCGTATTTTCCTGTGTATAAGACGCCCCCATGTATAAGACACCCCCCACACTTTTCTAACCCCAAATTAAGAAATCTAAGTGGGGCTTAGCAAGTATAGGGTGAAGGGGATCAAAGTCCTGCAGGATGGCTTTGATCCCTGTTTTCTCCCTTCATGCTAAGCCCCGCAGGGCTTAGCAAACGGAGGGGGAAAAGGATCATAGCAATCCCGCGACTGCACAATCGTTTTGATCCCTTTCCTCCTTATACAGCTACAGGATTGTTTTTATCCTTTCCCCCTTCCTTTTGCAAAGTGCCATGGGACTTAGTAAGCACAGGGGAAAGCAGGGAACAAAGCCATCCTGCAGCACTTTGATCCCTGCTATCCTTTTGGTAAGGCTTAGCAAGTGGAGGGAAAAGCAGGGATCACCACGACTGCAAAATCGTTTTGATCCCTTTCCTCCTTATACAGCTACAGGATTGTTTTTATCCTTTCCCCCTTCCTTTTGCAAAGTGCCATGGGACTTAGTAAGCACAGGGGAAAGCAGGGAACAAAGCCATCCTGCAGCACTTTGATCCCTGCTATCCTTTTAGTAAGGCTTAGCAAGTGGAGGGAAAAGCAGGGATCAAAGCCCTGCAGGATCACTTTGATCCCTGCTTTCCCCTCCACTTGTTTTTCTTCTCTCCTCAGCTTAATTCCGTGTATCAGACGACCCTCAATTTTTAGTCTAAAGATTTTAGACAAAAGTATGGTCTTATACACAGAAAAAAATGGTATATCCCTGATAGCATCATAATGATTTTCTGCTATATAAGTGTAACCCAAAAGGTCTGAAAAAGAAGCATGGCTTTTTCCATAGTACCTCCAGAACCATGGATTGCCCTTCGGGGGCAGTACATATATCTCCCTCTTTCATGCCATCCCACAAAGACATGTAGGCAATTCTATTTTCATGCCTCCTTTTTTAGAATTAGCAATTCTTGGGATTAGGTTGATCACTCTCGTTTCTATTCAAATTGTGGCTTTAGATCATCGTTGGGGAACCCTTCTGAGCCAAAAAGCCAGATTCCCTTCCAGGGAACCTTCGTGGGGGTGGAAGGGAAGGTCTCCGTGGCTGAGATGAGCAAGCATCCTGTAAAAAAGTCAGTATGGCTAAATCTGAAAAAGGGCAAGGACCTGCCATCATCTCTCACAGAAGTGTGCACAGGCTTCTGACACCGTACACAACCCTATATAAACAAAGATCGCCTCTTTGTTTATGTAGACAATTCTATTTTCATGTCTCTTTTTGAGAATTATCAGTTCTTGGGATTAGGTTGATCACTCTCGTTTCTATTCAAATTGTGGTTTTTAGATCATCCTTGGGGTACCTTTCGGAGCCAAAAAAACCCCAGATTCCCTTCCAGAGAACCTTCGTAGGTTCTCTGGAATATAAACAAAGATCTTCTCTTTGTTTATATAGGGTTATAGCCACCATATAACCAACGCTACAGCTTGGTTCAGAAATTGCCTTCCATGGAAACCAATGACTCATCTGCAGAGTGGAAACGTTGGGAGGGAAGGTTTCCTTTGGAGGACTGCAGAAGAGAAAATGAATACTTCCCGTCCGAACTATAACACCCTTCCAAATGCACTATTATTTTTTTTCCTGGAAGGCTTGTACCACGGTGTGGGAAAAGAAAGGGGAGGCCATGGGCGAGATGGGGAGGCTTCATGGTCTCATGCCGCTTGCAACACAGAGGTCTCCCAACCCAGATTTTAGATGTTCAGTTATTTATGCTGGTATAGAAATGGTGGCAAAAATGGAAGAGTGTTTTTATTTTATTTATTTATTTATTTATTTATTAAATTTATACCCCGCCCCCTAGACCATGTCTACTTGGAAGTTGAGCCATGGCCAGTGGACTTCTTTCTTGTTGGGTTGAAACATTTCACTACTCATCCAAGTAGCTTCTTCAGTCTGAGGAGAGTTGGTAGGAGACCCCTGATACATCCTCCACATCGGTGGATATTCAGACCAGGCGGACGTGAAACCAACGCAGAGGATATCTCTGGGGTCTCCTTGGACTGAAGAAGCTACTTGGATGAGCAGCAAAATGTTTCAACCTATCAAGAAAGAGGTCCGGTTGCCATGACGCAACATCCAGATAACCTCACCTGGATTAATGAGAATCCTCACAGATGGAAGAGATTTGTAAACCATTTTGCAAGCATACCCAAGGTTACACAGTTTGCTTGTTCCTGTTTTTCAAAACTTTAAACGCTCCGGTTTTTGGTCATGAAAAACAAGGCTTCGGAGAATTAAAAGGAAAAAAAATCAGTGTGGTATGAAGTTCATATTACTCAGGTTTGCATGAATGTAGCTCGTTTGGTAATTAAACTTCTCAGACTTAGTTGAAGACATGGTTATTACAACTTGGGTTTCCAGGCATTCATCCGTTTTAACGAACCCCCCTGCAAAGTTTTAAATTAAATCCCTTCTGAAATGGAAACAGAACCAAGAAAAGCATTCATTAATCCCAAAAGGTGATTTTAATTGAGTTGGCTAACAGACAACACCCCTTTGATGAAAGTAACCCAATGTTCTGAAAAAATTAAGTTTACCCTACAATGCGACTCTACTCTTACCCATGCCCAAATGGCGATATGAAGTAAAAACAGCAGTGAACTCTGTTGTCTATGATGTGGCGCCTGTTGAGTCCACTCTCATCATGAAGGTATCTTTCAAATTGGTTGTCAATGTAGTGGATGATTGTCTTGAAGCTGCGACAAAAAAAGGGGGAAAGGAGAAATTGGCGATGAGACAGGGTTTCACTCAGACATCTAAATGCATTCTGGAACTATTCCCTATACACATATTCTCTTGTCTGTTGTTCCTGTTCTGCATTATTATCCATCACTCATATATTTAAGGCTTATATGAACGCTTTTCACCTTGCTCGACAGCTAAAGGTGCTCAGAGCAGGTTATAAAGATGAACATTAAAGAATATCTTCTCTATCGTGATTATCAAAGACGTGATACAGAAGAAGAAGCAAAGTCGGGCAATCAGGATTACCAAGTACAGTGGTGCCCCGCATAGCGACGATAATCCGTGCAGCAAAAATCGCTGCAAAGTGATTCCGTCGCTATGTGATATTTAAAAGCCCATAGGAATGCATTGAAACCCCTTCAATGCGTTCCTATGGGCTTAAAACTCACCTTAAAGCGAAAATCCTCCATACGGCCGCCATTTTTGCTGCCCGGTAAGCAAGGAATCGGCGCGAAAACACATCGTACGGCCATTTTGTTTACCCAGCGGCCATTTTGGAACTGCCGATCAGCTGTTAAAATATCACTGCTTTGCGATGATCGGTAAGCGAAACAGGGAAACATAGGAAACATTGTAATGCGATTGCAAAATCTTCATCGCTATGCGATTTCGTTGTTAAACGGGGCACCCGTTAAGTGAGGCACCACTGTACAGTACTGACAACCACCAACTGGAATGGAAGCAAGTTCAAGAGAAGAAGCCACTTGCTGGTATCTTTCAGCTGTGGAATGAGCCAAAGGAATACCCCACTTTATTTATTGAAAATATTTTTACCCCGCCTTTCTTAAAAAGAACCCTTTGCTTATTTTCCTGTTTCTTTCTACTGCCTATTGTAACAGATAATGCCAGAGGATGGTCGATGTAAGGAGGTGGCTTCTTAGCACAGCTGATGGCAACCATATTTCTCTCCTAAGCTTGATAATATTAAGCTGAACATAGATAGAAACCTTTTTGAGCAGGACAAAAAAAGAAAGGTTTCTCTCTCTTACTCAAAACTCACCTTAAAGTGAGCTGAAAACTGAAATACAGTATTGTTGATGACAGTATCAATGGCATTTGCATACACAATTCCTTACTAATTGTCCCCTCTTCATTTCTCCTTTCCTTCCTATCATATCCCCACTTCTCTCCATTTATATTGGAAAATTCCTTGTCATTACAGAAACAACGCACAGAAAGCAATAAAAAAGAACCTTTGCAAAAAGAAAAGAGAAGCTGACTAAACAGAACATGAAATTCTCACTTCTGCAGAGCACAAGGCAGCTCAAATGCAAAAACGCTTAACCATACAATGAGATTCAGCCAAGAAAAGAGGATACTGTATAGCAGTGGTCCCCAACCTTGGGGCTCCAGATGTTCTTAGACTTCAAGTCCCAGAAACCTTGGTCAGCAGAGGTGGTGGTGAAGGCTTATGGGAGTTGTAGTCCAAAAACATCTGGAGGCCCACGGTTGGGGACCACTGCTGTATAGGACAGAAGCACAAACTGGCATTCACCACATAATATACGGCACATTAGGTGACTACAGCAGTCCAGAATGCTAACAAAATGGGGTGTGAGTAAAAAACGGAAGCCTGTCTGTCCACCCCACAGGACACTTGTAACTGGCTGACTAAACCTGAGTCACCTCCTTCCGAAAACTTTCCTTCTTTCCTTCCCCACACCCAGCATCTTCCCAGCACAAACTGGCATTCACCACATAATATACGGCACATTAGGTGACTACAGCAGTCCAGAATGCTAACAAAATGGGGTGTGAGTAAAAAACGGAAGCCTGTCTGTCCACCCCACAGGACACTTGTAACTGGCTGACTAAACCTGAGTCACCTCCTTCCGAAAACTTTCCTTCTTTCCTTCCCCACACCCAGCATCTTCCCTTGGGGTTTATTAGGGTTATAAAATCCCTCCCATCCCCATTTCCAGAGGCCTTCCTCTCCTCTCACTCCTAGCGAGCTCAGAAATTCAACAATCAACTTCTTCTTTTTTTAACTTTAGAAACACTAACCACAAGCCAATGTGTTTAGCTGCATGCAAACACATGCATTCACATGCGCATGTGCACATGCGCACGCACACACACAAACATAATAAAATGGAACAATAGTGTAGTATAGTGATTATAACACTAGAACCAGCTCCAGTGAAGCTGCGCCGGTCCCCTTCCTTCCAACGTTTAAGAAGCTTCTTAAAAACATTGTTGTTTTTAGAGAAACCTTCCAGGACAGCCCTGCCTGGTTTTGTATTTGACTTCATGCCTCCTGTTCTGCACAATCTGATAAATGATATTGAGCCTCTTATATTGTGTTGCATAATCTCTTGGTTTAGTTGATAACTAAGACATGGGAGATTCGCCTTCGTCTCCTGGGAGAGGCAAAGACGGACGTCACCGGCACAGGCAGCCGGCCTGATTAACACCCGTCGCCCCCCAGAACCCGCCGGTCCATTTGCCACTTGTTGTGCGGCCAGCGTTGTTGACAGCGCACCAATCGCGGCGGTAGCCCAGCTAGTGCTGCTCCGCCTCCCTGCGCGACCGGCCACTCAGCAGCTGAGTGGGGAGACTCCAGCCCCCTTGCAGAAGTGGCCAGCCGAGCAGGGAGGCGGGGCAGGGCCAGCTCGGCGACTGCCCCGATTGGCACCCT